GTGTGTGTGTGTGTGTGTGTGTGTGTGTGTGTGTGTGTGTGTGTGTGTGTGCGTGCGCGTGTGCTTCACCTCTCCATTGACGATGACAGAGTCGTGGCTGCGCTCAGAAGATGCAGGTTGTGAGCAGTTATTCTGAACAGTCATGGGCTTTATGGAAATAAGCTGCAGGGAGCCGGACGAGGAGTCATATGGATCTGAAGAGCAGGGCAGTTCACAAAAAAAGACAGCAGTTATCTATAATTGTTGCATTATTTATCAAAGAAGTAAACAATAACTCTCTCTCTGTGTTTGTTTGCCTCCCCACACCACAACGCCACCCCCACCCCCCCACCCCCCCATGGTGAATTGAATCAAATACTGCCGTCTGTCTCTGTAAATGAAGTGGTGAATCTAGTCAATAGATCATGAAGACAGCTTTTAGCTTCCAAGGTTCAGGAAACACATCTGTGTGATAAATGGAAGAAACTGATGCTGCACTTTTTATTGTTTTTCCAACAACAAACACACTGAATTCCGTTTTGGTTTCCCCTAACTCAGCTGATGAATTATTTAGCTCCACTGAAATCATATTCTGGCAAGCTTGGTCCAATCGACAAGCAGAGTGTCTAAATTAAATTCATTTGAACGCACGCTCACACCCACCAAGTGAAGAGTGTGTATCTTCTGACAGCAGAAACAGAACAAGACATTGCTCCGAATCAGAAGGTCTTTATGGCGCTTTAAGAGGTGCAAGTTGTGAGAAGCCTCATCGTTCGTTTTTGCACTTTTTCATTTGAGCRTAAGACTGTGACTGTGCCACTGTTTCACAGCATCTGAGAGTCTACTATCCAATTTTATCTCAGCAGAGAGTCTGTCTCATGAATATTCATCTGGTCCGGCTCTGCTAACTGCTGAGAGGAATACCTTTCTGATGATAAAAACGCTGCAGTGCCAGTGCGTTTCTTTTAAGGCACCTGCTTTCTGGGAAAATGAGCACTAGGGATGTGTTTTCATACTATAATCAGAGGAAAAAAGTCATTCTACTTCATGTTATGACACACTTGATCTTGCATTCAAAGGAGCAGCAGGATAAGTGATTTGTATTTGCATCTTCGTGCGACTCTCACCGTCCCTCTTGCGGGTCTCCTCCTTTGTCAGTTTCTGCTGCGCTGTGACTTTCGACACCGAGAGGCCTCTGCCGGATTGAAGCTTCTCTGATTCGTTGCTGATGACGGAACCATCTTCGCTTGGCAATTTGCTGCGAGTAACCATAGCAACAGGAAAGGCGGTGAGCTCTCAGGATGCTGGGCTCACAGCCAGGTTATGTCATCCCTCCTTTTCACAACCTCACCTTTCTCTCTCTCTCTCTCTCTCTCTCTCTCTCTCTCTCTCTCTCTCTCTCTCTCTCTCTC